CCCCCCCTTCCGGTGCCCCTTCTGCTCCCGCCTCCCGCTCCGTCCCGAGAGCCCCTGCCAGCGCGAGGGTAGGCGCCCCGCCGCGCACCGCTGTGAGCGGGTGGCCTACCCACCTCCCCTCACTCATGTCTCTGTTCTGGACCGCGTGCGTGTGTACGTGTGTGCGTGCGTGTGTGTGTGCGCGCGCGTGTGTGTGTGTGTTAGGGTGCTTGAGCGTTTGAAGGTCAGTAGCGGCAGCAGAATGCAAACAGCGAACAGAGACATCGGCCTCCTCAAGGAGCACCCCCCCCCCCCTCCTTCTTCTAGGCTCGCCCCTAGGAGTGGATGACCCTCCCTGCTGGCACACGTGCCGGGGGGAGGCGAGGGGACACTCTGAATCAGTGGGACCGAATTAGCGCCCCCCCCCCAACACACCGATGCTATCAACAGCGCGCGTGGGTTGTCTCAGCCTAATCTTGCCCATTTCAAGTACAAGATTACTAGCAATTTTTCTTTTTCCCTTCATTTTTCAGTAGTAGACTCCGTCTCTAGCTGTGACCGCGAGACAAATAAAAGGAGCACGCCAACGCTCCGACCACCAGCATTTACGGTTTTGTGCGAAACAAACGTTCCCAAAAGTTGTGGCGCCTTCGTTTGATTTGGGGGAGCAGGGCAAGGAGGGGGCGGATAAGCTAGAGGGGGCCTTTAGGCTTTTCTTTCTAGCCGGCGCGGTTAGGCGGGTTAGGCCCAGTTAGGCCCCCCGCGCGTCTCGCGCCGGCCTGTTAACAAAGAGGGCGGTGCCATTTTTGGTCGCGAAAACCGAGATCCGCGGATCCGCGGCGGGCGGGCGGCTCGGCGACAAATAATAGCAAGGCGTGCGAACAGAACCGATCCGGCCGAGCGGCTGCCTTGCGGCTGCGGATGCTGCCGTATACTGCTCTATACTCACCTCAGCGCATGAAACGGCGGGCGGAGCCGGCGGCTGTGACGTCACGGCAGCCGAGGGGCCGAGCAGCGGGGAGCGGGCGGAGCGGGGGGGTTCTGAAATAATGCAGACAGGTTCCGTGTCAGGCCTTGCGGTGCGGGAGAGCGAGAGAGCGAGAGAGAGAAGCGCCCGCGATGACACGATTGGCGAGAGAGCCGCGCGGATCGCTCTCCTCGCGGGCCGGCTTTGACACCGCGAGGACCTCGGCGAGGACACGCCACCCCTAACGTCACAACGACATCGACACGATGAACCACACTCGGGTTTGGTTCCGACTCCCGACGCTAGGTTAAATGGGTCCGTCCGCAGAACAGCGAAATAACGCTACTGAAAAACACGTCGGCGGAGAGGGGGGGGGGGCGTCGAGATAACATAAATAAAAGCGAATCTAAGAGCGATCCCGTCCGAGCGGGCCCGCGGGGGGGCGCGACCTAGCAGACGACGCGGCGCTATGTTGGCCAAGGGCCGGGGTGATTCGCGACTCGCGAGGACCGCCGTCGGCCGTGTCCCACCGAGGCCAAGCAAGAGGACCGGGCCCCGCCGCCCCCGCGAGGCAAGGGGTGGCCCTAACCTCTCCCCGGGGTGGGGGGCGGCGGGGACCCCACGGGGCGGGCCCTCCCCGCCGCCGTCTGCACCCTCGAGGGCGTGTCGGAGGGCCCCTGCCCGGTACTCACGGCGGCGGCCTTGCGGGCGTCCTTAGGGACGGGCAGACTCAGCCCGGGTGGGCCTCGGCCGCCACGGCCTCACCTCAGGCCTCGCCGCGGGCCCCGCGAGGATCAATGCGGGCCGAGCGAGTCCGCGAGAGCGCGGCGCGCGAGCCTCGCGCGGGGGGGCACGGCCGACATGCTGCACGGCGGGGTAGCCAAGCTTGGTGGCGCCAGGCGGACAGGGCGGCGCCAGACCCGCGGCCGCGCTGGCCAGGACGAGCGATAGACACAAATATTACCGGCACCGAAATGTTCACCCAGTTTCCATTTCACGGCGATGACGTCACTCGCGAAATGGACGACGGCGACCCGACCGCGGCGGCCCGAACGCCCGAGTGAAAACGAGCCGAAGCCTGCCCGACCGACCGACTCTCAACGCCCCCTCCCCTCTCCGGAACGACATCCGTTCCGGTTCCGCCTCCCACGCGGCGCCAGGTTTGAACGGGCTGATCAGGGCGACTCATATTCGATGGGCCCCCTCTGTGAATCAAGGGCGGTATCACGAATGGGTGAGGCCGGACGCGTCATGCCTCGCGCTTTGCGTGAGAACCTTCCTTAACCTCTTTACAGTCGGAGAGATTGTTACCACCATGTCGGATGTGGACAGCTAGCACGACGATGCTGAATAACGCCTGTGTGTAGGCAACCCCCAGGACATCACCCCAGCTCCAGGTGCCGTCCGTGACAGCAGGGGACAATTAGAAGACGCATGACCTCTGTTCATTTATTTATTATTATTCTATGCCTATCCAAACGATTCACAAAGAGTGTAAAAATGCTAAGTATTTTTGAGATGAGGCAATAACCGAGAGATTGTTACATATTTTACGCAACATCAAAGGATAAACCATAAGAAAAGTAATTTTAAAATGAAATATATTCTCAAACTCACTTATGGGAACATATTTAAAAGTATGACGAGATGAGGCGGGTGTTAGCCGGGAGGCCACTGCATCTGCCTGCCACCAAGAACATGGATGTGAAGATGGAAGACGGACTGTGCTCCATCCTTACCATTGTTGATAACTGTAAGAATTCAAAGTAAAATTAGATTGAGGAGCCATCGTGTACCCAAAGAATATAAGAAAAATCAATACTGACCTAAGCGGAAACCATTACTACCCAATTTCTCTCGCCCCAGTTTAGATGCAGTGAAAACTAGATGGCCAAGAATCTGAAAAGAAAATAGATGTGAGACCTGCTCGGGTATTGGATGCAACTGAAATCTGAAAATCATGTCTTACGTCCTTGTCGCTTGGCTCAACATCATCCAACATGGCAATCCTCCTCTTCGGGATCACCAGGAAGTGGGTTGGTGCCTGGGGGCTGATGTCATTGAATGCAAGGCACTGGTCATCCTCATAAATGATGTCGGCTGGAATTTCTTTCGAGATAATCTTGTCAAAGATTGTGGGCTGACTCTTGACAGCGGCACTGGCCTGCTGCGCCTTTTCCACCTCAGATGCCATCGTTGCAACCTGGAATGACAAACAAAAACACTTTAGTTTATTTTCAAATGGCATTTATTGCTATCATTTCCATTGCGTGGTTTGGATGGCCAGGTCGACCCGACGCGCATTACCGGGGGTCGACTAACAGACGCTGTTGTCGCCACCTTCAACACGTACTGGCAAGGTCTGAGAGATCTCAAAAGTACCGGCGCCAATAATGACATGGTGCGTGGAGCACTATTGAACCTTAAAACTGAAGAAAATAAGCGACGTTAAAGGTCGGGCTTTACTTACGGACTCAACTACCTGCCCTGGCCTACGTCGCCGGCTTGCCAACAGTGAACCCTTGATAACCGGTTGATTGGTTTGCTTGCTTTGCTTGCACCTCTAGCCGCACGGCCGCACTTGTCACGAGCAAAGGTTAACTTCGGGCGACTGTACTGTGTTGATCAGTGGCCGATCTGAAGCAGCGGCAAGTTACAGTGATTTGCAATGTTTCAGGAAAAGAGTCTATAAAATTCAAATAGCAGTGACGTGATTAAGTGCGGTAAAAGTGCCATAAACACGGCAAAAACTGGAAAAATATTTCCTGGATACGCATTCTCTAGTTCGACAAGGCGCCATACGTGCCGCCCTCTTTCGGTGTAACAAAGAAGTTCGCGTTTATCGTGGCTCGAAGCATAAGTGCCGTCTTCGCAAGAACAATAGAGTGGGGAGGACTGCCGGGTCCCACCTCGCGCCCGCTCGAAACCGGCCCCCACCGGGTGGTCGAGATCTTTGGCGGGTTGCCTACCTGCTAGGATCTCGGGTCTACTGGGCGCGCGCGCAGTGTATTCTTATGGGAAAACGGTCTACTTTGGGGCTCCCTCCTGTGTTATTCTTTGGCCACAGGAAGGTGGAAATTTTTCGATACTGACTTAAAAACATAGTAGAATTGCTCCGAGGCCGTATATTGCGTGGAAATCAACTCATTGATATGAATATGAAAGAAAATATGCGAGGTGGCCGGATTCGTAAAATTGTCTAACTTCACGGCGCTGGTGTGGGCACAAATGAAGAGAGAACGGATTTTTCGAGGGATTTTCTGAGAGGATATTTAATGGCCTTTTTAATGAGCCCTTTTCCGTATTTTTTGCACCACGCATTATTGAGCACGAGTCGATTTTAATAGGGCCGAAATGTGCCAAAACTAGCCATTTTTAGATCAGCTCATACGATAAAACTGCTAGTGATGAAAACATACCATGTACATAAATGGAAAGGTGACGAGTTAAACTTTCGAGGCCGCCTGTAAAAACCTCTTTAGCTCCCCAAAATTTTCTGATACGATGCCGGAAAATCAGCCTTCAGGTCGTGCGCTGTGTTGCTTTTGGCGCGGAACTGCGGGCCGCGCGCAAGTCCCGCGTCGTGCGACGCACTAATTTGTGGGATCGTAGCAGACAATTTTGACGATTGATAGTGTTATTTGTAATCGGCCTCGAAAATTTAACTCGTCGCCTTTCTGTTTAAGATGATTGCATGTTTTTAGGACGACTAGTTTGTCCGTATGAGCCGATCTTAAAACAGGTAGTTTTCGTGCATTTTGGCCCTATTAAAATCGACTCATGCTCAAAAATTAGTCACGCCAAAAATATGGAAATGATCTTACTGAAAAGGCCTTGAAATTTCCTGTCAGAAAACTGATTGAACACTCCGATATCTCTTCATTTGTCTTCACACCATTGCCGATAAACAAGACAATTTTCCGAGTCAGACCACCTGGTCTATTTTCTTTTATATTTATATCAACAAGTCGACTTTTACAGAATTCACTGAGTCAGAGCAGTCCTACAGTGTATTTAAGTTCAAATGGAAACATTTCCACCTTCCTGTGGCCAAAGAATAACACAGGAGGAAGCCCCAAAGTAGGCCGTTTTCCCATAAGAATACACTGCGCGCGCGCCCAGTAGACCCGAGATCCTAGCAGGTAGGCAACCCGCAAAAGATCTCGACCACCCGGTGGTGGCCAGCCTGAAAAGCGATCCGGCAGTCCTCCCCACTCTATTGTTCTTGGTCTTCGTGTTATTTGAGATTTTCATGGAGAATTTGAAGAAATTGTCGTATTTTGGGCCGTAGACTATACATAGACTGCTCTGACGTGTTGTAAATCCTCTCTACAATGATCGTGGCAAATCCTGACGCCTTAAAATCATGGTTAACCCGAGTTCTGGAGCCGTTGTAAGTAGGGCATATCCTTGTGTTGGGTTACAGCCTAGGGGCTTAGTGGGAGGCCACCTAAACATAAAGTACAAATGCCTCTCTAATTTTGTCAACGGGAAAAAGGCAAATTATTACCCGAGGAAATGTGTATTTTTTTCACTTGAAGTGGTAGCATATCCCCGTACTGTTGAACGTAACCAGCGGGTCGGGCGGACAACCTGGCAACAGCAGTATTTACGTTTACAATTTCTTCCGTTGGGAATCACACTTAACCACCATTTGAACCACCAGCATATGCGCTGAGTTCTCATTGAATTGGTTTTCCGGCTTGTAGTGTCCCCAGTTTCCCTCTTTCCTATTTATTCTTATTATGAACACATCATTGCCGCTAACCCCATATTTTAGACTAACTCAATTACACTTGTTCATGACTTTAATCAGAGCCAGTAGCTCTTCATCAACAATCCGTCCTTTATAAATATTGCTTTTACCTCCAATCTCTCTTCTAAATACAATCATAAATACAATTTCAGAATGTCAACACAAGATAACCTCCAAGCCATGCTACAACTGGAAGTATTATCTACTAACACAAACTAGTGTGTCGACTTTTTGGTTAAATAATAAAAACAGTACTTTGCCCACAATTTTATAGTTTAACATTTCTGTTGTAGACATTTTCTTAAGTACATCAAAAGCGTGTTATGTAACAATATTATTTTTCTATATATATAATTAATTATAACTCATACATTACATTTGTTTTTAGGTGCGATGCAGATCCAGCAGCTCTAGCGAAGTATGTGTTTGCCCTGGTTAAAAAGGATAAGCCTTTACAGGAGCTGAAAGATAGTATGGTTGAGCAGCTGGAAGTTTTTCTTCAGAATGGTGGGCATTTCATAATTTTGTTATAATTAGGTCCCTTGCTCTAACCTTTTTGCTAATGTTAAAATTTACTTGAGTAATTTTTATATTATGTTTTTCTCATTTCAGAAACCAAAAAATTTGTAGCCCTGCTGTTTGTTGTGCTGGAGAAACAAGATTACTCGCTTCCAGTGCCAGCCTCAATCAAACAGTTGGCCACAGGGGAGGCACCTTCTTCTACCACTGAAGTTGATGTCAAGCCAGATGCTCCAATTGAACCAGAACCCGAGTCACAACCCAAAGTAGTGTCCCCTTCACAGGTATTACCTGGATTCAAGTTCATCAACCTCATGTTAGTTTAGTGAACTCTTTCTGATATAATTTTATTTCATGTTTCAGAGTACAACCCAACCCACTGTTTCAAGTAGTACATCAAGCAGTGTGAACTCTGCTAGTGCTACTCCCAGTAGCTCAAGTGTGCCTGTGGCTAGCGTGGTGCAAGTCAATGGCACTGCAGTGAACTCTGCTCCTGCTCCAAGTAACAATGCGAAGACTTCTCACAGGAAATCAGATTCTGTGAGTTTTTCTGGCTTTTCATTTTGTATGGCATTGGTTGATTTATTTATTTACTCGTAATAACTGGCAACATTATCCAATAAAGGACCGGGATGAAAAAGGACGAACCGGAAGATCTGGTCGGCATTCATCACCTGGTAGAAATAGATCACGTTCACGTTCTTGGGACAGACCTAGACGTTCTCGCAGCCGTGATAGACTAAGAGATCGTGATCGCTGCCGCTGGCGTAACAAGTCACCACCTGCCCGTAGATATGAAAGGGAGAGGAGGTGAGTTCAAATCTACTATCAGGTTAAAAGTATGTCTATTATTTAGTCCTTTCCTTCATTTTAATTATATTACTACAGAAGAAGCTGGTCACGGACAAGAGGTGGATCTCGTTCAAGATCCAGGTCCAGGTCACCCAGACATGGATCAGGATTCAGAAGTAGTAGGTACCGCCGATCACCTGCCGGTAGAGTATCACTGTCACGCTCAAGGTCTCACTCTGCTGGTAAGTTCATATTCTTGATTTGCCTTGTCGTAGGAATAGTATGATTTAATCTTCTTACTTATAAAATGTATTTTTTCAGAACGCAAAAAAGAGCCACTTTCTGGTACAGCTACTCCAACACAGGACAGCAACCATGGAGATGAGTCCCGAGTCATCACTACTTCACAGAGTATTCAAAGTGTTGTGAGCCAAGTGCCTAAACGCCGCTGCAGGGATTTTGATGGTGCTCTATTTCTTTTCTTATATATTTTCTGTAATGTTCTTAATAATTTGTTGTTTTAACTTTTGTGTGTAATTTTCTGTGCAGAGAAAGGCTATTGTATGAGAGGTGATCTATGTCCGTATGATCATGGTACTGACCCAGTTGTTTTGGAAGATGTATCTCTTTCTCAAGTTCTGCATCCTTCACAACCTGGCTCAGGTCCTCCTGGTTCAGGTGTCCCTAGTGAAATTGGTGGACTTCAGAGTACAATAGCAGTTGCTCCATCAGGCCCTGGTATCATGGGTGGAGCTCAACAGTCAATGGTACAGATTCCTGGGCACATGCCACCTTTCCATGCAAGATTTCCTCCCCCACCGCCACCTGTTCCTGCAGCAATGGGTATGTCCTAATTGTCTATTAAGTTCCTTTTTTGTTTTTACTGCCTTCACTGTTTTTCTAAATCTAATTTGCATTGCAGAGTATAATCCTGACGCACCAAGTATGGAGCCTCGCATGACATGGAGCCGTATGCCACCCAGAGGTGGACTTGGTAAGTATAACTCATTTTGTTAGGCGCTAAAATTATTGAGTGAACTGTACCTATAAGATAAATGTGTTTACTTTAGGTATGCGAGGACGGATGGTACGAGGTCCTCCTCCTCCTCAGCAACCACCTTACAACTCCATGCACCAGCAGCAGCGAGAGCTAGTTTCTGTGCCCCTTAACGACCATTCTGGTGGGATGGGTGTTCATCCTGGGTACAAGAGACCTATGCCACAGGATAATAACCAAAATTATCCTATGCATGGAGAGGTGAGCAAATTTCCATACCTAAAAGTCAAAGTCTGCATACTACTGAAATATTTTACAACAATAAGACTCATCTATCAAATCATACATAACTTTGCATTTGCAGACTTTACACCTTGATGGACATTCACCCATGAAGAGACGTCCAGCATTTGACTATGGTCGCCTAGGTCCTGTTGGCACTCGTGCCAAACACAATCAAGGAAATTGCTCATTAGACGTCAAAAAAATCCCTCGTGGAGTTAATAACATTACTCATTTGAACAACCATTTTGCCAAATTTGGGAAAATTGTTAACATTCAAGTTCAGTTTGAAGGAGATCCTGAGGCTGCCCTTGTGACATTTTCCTCTCATGCAGAGGCTAATGCTGCATACAGAAGTACAGAGGCTGTGTTGAACAACCGTTTTATTAAAGTGTTTTGGCACAACAACAATAACAATAATGGTGCCAATAGTAATGAGGTAGGACTGATTCTGTTTTCTTGTTCAGAATTTACATTTCTTTGATAGTTTTCTGAAGCTGTATTATTCTTCTGCAGCAAGGGAAGCAGGAAAATGTTCCCCCTATGAAGCCATCGGTAAGAGAGAGATTAGGAGCTCCTGTGCCACCTATGCAGGTCAAGGTTCTCAACACCAAGGTTGCTCCACAATTGACTGATGAAGAAATTGAAGAGGTGAGGACTTCACTTCTACTTTTGGTTGCATGACTTGCCTCACTCTTCTTCACACAAACCACAAATTAACATTAAACCTGTGAACCTGTTTGCTATTCTGAAATGAGCTGGATGATTCTTTTCTTGAAAAGAAAATTGGTATCATATTTAGTCATACAAACTTCAACTCCTCTCTCAGTTTTCCCAATTAATTACCATAACATATTTAAAAAGTAACCTACCGAGAAAGAGAGAATTTATTGGAATCAATCTGACTGAAAACTATCAAGTATTTACCTAACCACTTCTCTGCTAATCACATTGAGAAAGAGAGATTCATTTCTAAGTTTGAGTATTGTGTTTGCAGCAAGTTATGATGTCTGGCAACAGCCTCACCAAGACCTTGTTCATCAAGAAGGAGGTGTCTCCTGCTCCTGCTCCCACCCCTGTACTAGCTTCCGCTCAGGTTAACAAGGCGCAGGCAGTGGCTAAGTTACAGGCACAGGTGTGTGTGCTGCATAACCCAGCATACTCTATTCAGTAGCAGTAGCACCATCCTTTTACTTTTTTGTAGCTGTCCTTTTTTTGCACTTTGTAGCTGTTCCCTTTACCTCAATTTCATCCCAGTTCCAGTAGCCAGTTTGTGCATACCGTATAGTGTCTTTAATTCACTAATATCTAACAATATTACATGGATTGGAACCGATTGGAACATATAATCTGCCCTAACAGCATTTAGCTTTTACTCAATAGGTTATTGCTCTTCCTGTAAGCGGAAAGGTGGATTTGGTCAGCAGTCTTTGCATTGCATATTGTTTAGTTACTGATAATTTTAGACTATGTTAGTTACCTTCTAGTGCTAAATATCCCTGCCCCTCCCTGTCTTATCTTTGTTTTGCACAATACTAGTACTATTCTAGCATCTTTTTATTATGCATATGTAATTTCTTTAGCATGAAAACTGCATGGAAATTATTGGCAACCTGGTAACCTGACTGTCATTTGGTTTTAACTTAGGTCCTGTATTTAATTGAAGCTTTTTTTAGTAAAGGGTTGCAGCTAATCCTCTTTCTTTCAGGGGGCTTTCCTACTATGTTACTTTTCTTTACACTCCTAGTTTTAGTTTATCATTTTTCCCTCCTTAAGGATAACTGAAGAATGCATGAGCATGTTTTTCACGTCTTCACTTTTGACCCTTGATTTTTCTTTCTTTTGTAATAGTTTCATTTGTATTTTGAGTTTTTGTTGTGTATCCTTCCATTAATTTGACTTTTGTGTCCTTCTTTCCAGCAAGCCGCTGCTGCAGCTGCTATGAAATTGAAAATGCAAGAAGTTGCTGCTGCAAAGCAAAATATAAGAAAGAAGCAAGAAGAAAAGCGCAGGGAAGCAATGCAAATTACCGCAGATCTGAGGAAGAGAAAGCAGGAGTTGTTAGAAAAACAACTTGACCAGCAGAAACAATTAATCCAAAGACTTGAAAAGCAAGATATCACTAAGGAACAGCGTCAAGAAGTCTTGAACACTATCAAGTCATTACAGGAAAGTGTTGAGAAAATTCGGAAAGATCTTGCAACAGTCATGGGTAGCACTGCCAACACCATAAAAGTTACTGCTGCTAAATTAGTCAAATCACCCCCTTCAACAAAGACTCCACCTACAAACCTAGTCAAGAAAACCAAGGAAGAGGTAAGGTTTTCTTTTTGTTTTTTAGGGTAGCTTCAATGACTTGAATGACTACAGATTTAATAATAATAAATTTTTGTGGTTTTATAGGCTCAAAGAGAAATTCTGGATGCAGAGCTTGATCTTATTTCCAAACAGCAGGAAGGTGCAGATACAGCTGAACTTCAGCGCAAAGTGGCAATTTTAAAAATGGAAGCAGCCAACCAAGCTATAGTGCAGGCACCCACAAAAGCTGTGCGTGGGGCTCTTCGTACAGTTCGGGGTCGTGGAATAACTCGTGCTGTGGCTGCACGAAATCCAGCTCTGTACAGGTCTGGGTAAGTTCTACGTCCAAGGTTGCTGTCACTTGTTTTTAGGGTGTCTTTCTAAAATTCATTTTATGCTAATTGTTTTTACTGTTAGGGTTCGCAGAGGGGGATTTACTGGGCATAGTGTTGATCACCGGCCGTCAAAGATCCTTGTGTCTGGATATGAAGAGGATGACAAAGTTGATGTCTTGGCCCATTTTGCTGTAAGTCTTCCATTTCTGTTTTTGACTCCACTTTGAAACTATTTAGTGGTACCAGCCATCATATTGATTTACCTTAATTTTGCTATATTGCAGCAATTTGGTCAAATTGTTGACCATGAGAGTGATGATGCTATTCCATCACTAGTCCTCAACTACAAATCTAGGAAAGAAGCTGAGCTAGCTATGACCAAAGGAAGAAACTTTGGAGACAGGTTACTGTCAATAACATGGCAGGCAGGTGTTCCAAGGCAAGGTCGCAACTCTGCCCACCTACTCTCAACTGTTCATCTGAACTCTCACCAGCGACAAGTTATGATGGTTGGTGACCCGGCTGACCTTATTGATGATGTTGAGGGTCATGTAGAAGATGAGGAAGAGGTTAGTAGAGTTAAGTTTATCTGATAAAATTTTGAGAACGTGTTGTGGGTGTTTAAATATGGCTTTTTATTTCCTTAGCTTGTTGGACTGGATCTTGAACCAAGCGAAGAAGCTTTGCTGCTTGATGATGAGGAAGAGGATGAAGATGGGGAAGACCGCAGCTGGCGACGATAGTTGTTCACCATACACTACTCAGCTGATCTAATTAATGTGCTGAGTAGTATTATCTATCCTTAACATCACTTCCAGCAAGTTACTTTTGTTTGGTTTTTGCTTTTATTTTTCTCACATGAAATTTTTAAGTTCCCTGAAAATTTGATGATTCACAATTACCCACTCAAATTATTAGTAATGTAAAAATGTTACATTATCCCATCAATATTGACATTTCTGTAATGCGTAATCAATTTTCCTTTCACCCCTTTTCCCCAAATTACTTAATCCTATAAGGGTTACTTTTAACTTAATCACATCTTCAAGTTTTCTTTTTGTTTTCTTTTTATAAATGTGAAGATTTGTTTCCCCCTCATTTTATTTTGAAGTGACTGTTGTGATAGCTTGGTTGCATAGTTTGCTGGAAGTTTGTTTTGGCCAAGACTGATCTGTGTGTATTCAAACCGTGGGATGACTAGTAGAAACCCTTTTCTCCTTTTTTTGCTGTGTCCATTGTAGTCAAACTCTACTGAACCCATTTGTCTTGCTTGCCCCTCAGCATAATCGGAGTATGCAGACATCTTGTGACGTGCTGAGCATGCCATGCAACCATGTATATTAAGTGATTTGTTGCTTTGTTTTTAAGTACTGAAGAAATTGTATTCTTTGTAGGTATGTATGTAATTATTGAAAGTGTTTGTTGTGCAATTTACGTGTAATTCTTCATCACTGCATAAGGAGGAAAGCGAAAGTAATATTCTCTTCCCTGTTATGAACTGTAACCCTGTGCAGAATGTAAGATTATACTAAAATAATAAATACCACCTCTGGGAAAATTCTATGGATGTTCTTTTCATCTTGTTAGGAGGCATTTTGAATGCTTTCCACTGTGATTGGCTTGACAGGTGTGTTTTGTAGCTATAGTGAATTCCATAACTGCGTATTGTAACAGTTTGTGTGTTGGTAGAGGGTCAACTAGATTTTAATCAATCCCATTTCTGATGCAATAAAGAAAGGCATTTGTCGCTGCAGTTTCAAACTTTTGACCTGTTTTTCTGTGATCTTTTGGTTTGGAACATTTAAATGAAATATGAATAACATCAGTGCAATTTGGCTGTGCCCATTATTGATTTTAAGAGGACAATGTTCCACACATTTTACATACAGGAACTAATTAAATTTCTTGTGCTGTCATTTTTTAATTAAAGAGAACTTGTTCGGATGTAATCAAATTTTGTATATTAAGCTCTTGAAAAGTGTGTAGATTTTACTCAGATATGGAAATCACTGCCTCAACTGACCTAGTACAAATTATCTGTGTAATGTTAACGTCAATCCACATTTAATGGAGTGGTGAAGTGCTAGAACTTGACTACAACCATGTCTTTTGCTGTGCCTTTGTGCCTGTTGCATGTCTAAAACATTTTTGGAGATCTTTAATGATATTGCATAAACAACTGTTAATTTGATACATTTATATGTTTGAATGTAACCTCCTTGTCTCTTTTTCATGGTATTTTATCAGAAAATTATTGGGCCACTTATCATTTATGTAAACAATTTTGGGGTGATTTTGCAGTGCCCTGCTTTTGGAACTTTAGTACATTTAGTACCTCTTTTTCTTATGTCTAGAATGAGCAACTAAGGTATTGTGTTGCCAAGCTGATAATTTACTGTGGTGCCATGGAGAGTGTAAAAAATATATTATATATCTGACTTGAACAAATATGAATTCTATTCTTAGGTTAACTTGTGCAGTACATTAATTTGGTGAATTTGGCTGTGTCAAATTCTTATTTGTTGTAGTCACTCATGTTCCTTCATAAGGCCCGAAATTTAATGGGAAATTGTATGGCTTACTCTGAGAGCAGTTGTGGGAGAACGTAGTCAAACTATTTCATACTATTGTCCACCTCATTTGCCTGGAGACAGTGTTCGCTTGAGCTACATTTTTGTAGGAACTTTACCGTAAAATATATAATTTTTATATTAGTAAATGAATTTTTGAAACCTATTATTGCTGATATTTCATCCAGTGGTGATGAGAACTAGCCAGGCTTTTAAGGGACCATAAAACTCATAGCTTTGACCTAGTATAGTATTAAATTTTTTTAAAGTCTCTGTTACATTTTGAGGTTTTGATGTAATGTTGTAGACTCCAATCTTGTTATCTCATTTTCTCATTTTTATCTGCTTTAAAATCAAACAACTTACACATATACCTTTTTTTCACGTGTGAAGGGGTTGGTTTCCAGTAAAAATAATATTAACAATTAAAAAAGATTGACCAGTTTTAAGCACTGACCATTTCGCTCACCTAACTTGAGTTTCACTTGTGTTTGTGTCTCGTTTTGTGATACATGTTTTCTTTTTCATGCAAATGGTGAATTGACAGAAAATGCATCAGTCCTGAATTATGTCACTCTATTCTCTTTGTACGCTTACTGAAATCCATTGAAAAGATTCTAATTGCATAAAATGCCATAATCAAAAGAGAAAAAACAATTGAGAAAAAGGTTGGAGAAGTCCTATTGAGGACCTGTTCAAGGTTTAGACTCCAAGGTTTCAGTAAAATTTAAAATAAATTTTTGAGTAAGAAGCAGCATTACTCAGGAAGCCTGATTAAAATAATGTGTTGTTAATAACCTGTGTACCCAACACACCGAAATAGGTGCAAGGAGGACTTGAACAGTTGAACATCCCTCATTTGGCATATTATTCATCACTCAAATATTGGACATGGAGATAAAGAAGATTTCAAAAATGGTAAATCCATGTTTCAGTAATACCATGCCTGAAATATAGTGCCACGTTTGCCATTCATAATTACAGATGAATGAATCGAAGCTTTATTCCTAAACAATTTATTTTTCGCTTTTCGAAAGTCTACAAATGGTATACACAACCAGCCACGGGCTTGTCCGTGCCGGCTACTTGGGAAAAGCCAAGTTGGGCCCCGCGCATTTTGAGGGTCCTCGAGGCAGTTTCCCGCGTAGGCCCCTAGACCCCCTGCCCGTGGCTGTACACAACACTGAGGAAACTTTTGAAACCAGTGCAGGAAACTAAGTATATCAATACTAATAGGATGTGTAAATGTCTACAATGGTAACAACAGTGTCAATGAATGTTTTGCAAGTAAAAAAAAAGTATTATCCATCACAGCCAAATTTTCCTGAAAGATCATCACTCCAGGTATACTAAAGAATGACATCAGAATGATATGTTCTAGTTCTCTCTATAGAAGGAACTTAACAGGGATGCTTTGAATGACATAATACTGCAGAGATTTTGAGCCTTGTCACCATCGGTCAGTACTCAATCTGCAGAAAAAAAATTACTATAGTAACAACTTGCAGATCAAGAAAACTGAACATTCTTTTTTTAAGCTGTGCAGAGCTCTTACAGAAATAATAATAAAATTTTAGCCTGAAGGACACATACAAAACAGAAGAGAGTCCAACAAATAAAATTAAAAAATAACTCAACACACATAATTTAAAGTAACCATGCCATGGTTGCATGTATTTTGATGGGAAATAAGAACGCCCTGGGGACAGACATATTAAAGCTTTTAGGTAATGTCTTTACCTACTGATAAATACACACACAAAACACACATTACAACAAAACTAAGACATTGTAAAGGAATGAAGAAAATAGAGAGAGCCAATACCTGTTTGATATGAATAAGAGTATTCCTAACACCGGGTTGTTGTAACTGAGATGAGCCTAACTAAGGAAATAACTCATCAGAAACGTTAGAATGTACGCAAAAAAAGAGATCCAAACACCGACAATTAACACAATATTAATACCCTACAATTGTTCACAATCTCAATTAAAAAGAGAAGCTCATCAGCTAAGTGCTTATAGATCAACAGTGCAAAGTTTGTTTGTTTTTCGTCTTTTATTAATACTGATTTTCCCCGCAAAAAAAAAAAAAATTAAATTAAAACACTATAAATCGAAATATATGTTACTAGCCCTTCCTCCTATTGAGCCAACAGCTCTAAAGGGGAGTTAAAATATAAATTTAAAAAACAATAATAAAAAATAACCGTGATTTCCAAAAACTTAACATGGATTCAAACCCTTCTAAAAAAAAAAAATACTTCACCAAACTGGAAGCTGAATCACAAAGAAGCCCCTGCGCGGCTAGGCGTTGCAGCTCTCCACCTGCTGGCCGGCGAGCGGTGGCTCGTTGGCACCCTCCATGTCCTCCTCGCGCTTCCGGATCTCGATGGCCAGCTTGTAGCCCAGCTCGGCGCGGCGGTCCCGGCCCTCCACCATGGCCTTCACCTGCGGCACACCAAGACAGTCAGCTGGGTAACGGGCGGAGCGGCGGAGCGGCGGCGCAAATAGGGATTTTAAAGTGCAATTTTTTCCCGGAAAAAATCGAAAATTTTCCAGAAAAAATGAAAAAAATAAGTTGGGATGTAATTTGGGATGTGATTTCATTTTAAAAAAGAGCTAAAACAAAAAAAGGTTCTTGAAAAATTTACCTAAACTATTTTCCCAGGAAATTAAAATTCCTAGGCGCAGATGACGCACCTGGTTCGAGTTGACGATGACCCCACTGTTAGTCATGACGGTCTGCTTCGTCTTCTCGATATCGTTGAGGTCCACACCGCGGCTGCAGTCGTCGATGAGCACGGTGCGATAGCCGATGGTGAGCGCGTCCAGGGCCGAGGCACCTGCAACGACCACCAGGCATGGGGTACTTTTGTCACGAGCCTCCCTCCGTCTAGGGTACCCCGGTGTAACTTACCGACGCACACGTCGTAGGCGAGCCCGCACACGTAGATGTCGGTGGCGTTCTTGGCGCGCAGCTCGTCGCCCAGCGTGGTGCGCGTCAGCTTCTTGTTGTCCCAGAACACCGAGTACGAGTCCACCTCCGGGTTGGTGCCCTTGCAGATCTTGATGGCGCCCTCCACCACCTTGAGGTCCTTGTGCAGCTCGGCGCCCCACGAGTCCTGGACGCAGTGCCGCGGCCAGAGGCGCTGCTTCATCTGCGGCGGGCCCTCGAACACCACCGTGTCGTACGTCTTGGCGTCCTCGGCTTTGACCTGCGGAGAGAGGGTGTTCAAGGGGCTGCTCCTGTTCCAGGACGCACGGCGACTTAAGGGGGATCCAAATATTATAGGGTCACAAAATTATCGAGCAGGACAATCACTGGAATCCACAGAGACCCCACGATATTTCTACTCCGGGGTACAAATATCATGGGCTCTAATGACCGTCCTGACCCTTTCGGGACCCCACAGCGATTGGATCCCACCTAAAGCCCACATGTGCTGAACAACCCCAAAGAAAGGGTGAGGGGGATAAGAAATTCACCCCCCCATGTGACTCACCGGACTCGAGTCGTGCAGCTTGCGGTAGGGCAGGTTGTCGATGAAGGACACGTGGTCGCTGGGGTGCCAGTCGAGCGAGTAGAACACGGCGTCGAACTCGACCGTGTCGAGCAGCCGGTTGATGGGGTCCACCACGTCCAGGCCGTTCTGCTGCGCCGCGCACTGGCTGATGTTGAGCGTGCCGCTGATGAAGTCGTTCTGCACGTCCACCACCAGGAACACGGACACGGGCCGCACGATCTACAAACGCAACAGGGAAATGCTTCACAGGGGAAAGGGTTTTCAGGGCGCAATCAGTCGAGCGCGTGAAAAAATTATGGGTGACATGAATGTTGATTAGGATTTTCAACCAGTTTCAGCTGCTCAAACGACGTACCGCGGTCAATTTTAAGGCCCAAAAATACGAAAAACACCCTAAGACATTTAACGAGTTTTGAACCTTTAAATACCCATATCTCCGGGACCCCACCCTACCCTACACCCGCTGCCCACGTGTCACTCGCCCCTCGGCTCGTCCACTCACGGGAGTGGGGCCTGACGACGGGGGGCGGGGGTTCGCATCAAAGCCCGCATGGACCCATGCGGATCCATACCATCCTTCAATCCTTCCCAGATCCATCGGTCCGCGCGAACTTATTACTTTACGAGAGTACTGCCCGCTGATACCGCGATAAACATATAAAATAGCCAGTACAAATTGGCTTCCTTGGAGGCGGTAGAGCAGTGCACACGAGGACGGATGGACGGAGAGTGCAAGCCTAGCGGAATGCGGGGCGCCGCGAGCGCAGCCGGACGCGTCGGCCACGCAGACAGGCAGTAGAGGCGCGGCCAGCAGCCAGAGCAGTCACGGAGCAGGAATTATAAAGGTTAGCACCATTCCTTTGGCTCTTATCTCATTGAGCAATAATTGGAAATGTAGAAATTAGTTGTTTAATAGGATGTCCCGAATGAAAATATTTAATCTCCATTTTACAGAAACTACGTGCCATCGAGCTCCAAGAAGCCCTTCGAGTGTTCTGTGTGCAACAAGAAATGTACGACGAGTGGTAACCTCCGCACACATCTCCGAATAACGCACACTGGAGAGAAGCCATTCGAGTGTTCTGTGTGCAACAAGAAATTTGCGAGCAGTGGTAAACTCCGTCCACATCTCCGAACACACACAGGAGAGAAGCCCTTGGAGTGTTGTGTGTGCAACAAGAAATTTGCGGAAAGTGGTACTCTCCGTACACATCTCCGAACACACACAGGAGAAAAGCCCTTCGAGTGTTCTGTGTGCAACAAGAAATGTACGACGAGTAGTGGTCTCCGCACACATCTCCGAACACACACAGGAGAGAAGCCCTTCGAGTGTTCTGTGTGCAACAAGGAATTTAAAAGTTGCGATTAACGCGCACTTTTATAAACTTATGTCGACTTATGTTGAAGATATTTTTCTGTTGAGCGAAATTATAAACACATTGGTGCATTGTTAATCATTTACGGTGTAAATTTTTTTGTAAATATAATATTTGTTAATTTATGTGATAGGTTTGTATTTTTTTTTCATGGAATATGGTGTTTTAGGGTGTTGGGTGTGAATTTGTAAAGTGTGATAGCTGTGTTTTAAAAGAAACGTGATGTGATATGTGAGTGTGTGACAGTCAACACATTTTAATGCGAGCCAATTTGGCATCCTTAAAAAGTGCGTGTGCTAGACGTGGCACGAGATTGTTTTTCTTTTAAAGGTGTTGCAGCAGGAGTTGATCCCGTAAGGGCTGCTCGCAGCTCATCTGGGTTAATTTTCTATCACGCAAACTTCGTATTTAACCAATTACGATACATCGTTATTTTACGAATTTCTTTGTAAAATCTAAAGTAAAGAGTATGAAATTTCTATATATTTTGTCAAATTTTATGAGCCCAAAATTCGTGTCAGCGACGAAATTTATCTATATGACTTTACGAAAAGTTTCGCAAGTTGACGCTCACGAAATATTTTGTAAAATATTTTATACAAAGCGTTTTGTGACATTTTTCCCCGTAAAATCAAGATTACTTTTTACAGTGATCCTCCACGCATCGCATGACGCACAACGCACCCGAAAACGCCAATTGGAAACGGTATGGTACAGTTTACCCCATGCGGGGCAGGGAAGACGAATGCGCGTCTCTGATCGGGTCGAGCGCTGCCAGCGCCTCCTGCCGGCTCCTGCCCCGCAGCGCGTCGAGCCCGGACGATAAGCCGAAATGTGTCGAGGCACGAAACCTTTCATGCGGATGGGGATCGTGGGAGAGCGGGCTGGATGATGGGGGGTTACGATGGGGTGAAGGTGAGGGGGACGAGGGGGGAGGGGAGGGAAGACGAAGAAATAAAAATACTCAAAATCGCATC